GGGAAAAATTCTAAACCTAATGGTAAAAAAATTTATCACTTTTATTGATAATTTCCATGCAAGATAAAGCCAAACGAATAGTATTAGGTATGGTAATTTTTTTTAAAATTTTTTTTGGCAAGTTAAACATTTTCTAGACCCAATGGTAAAAGAAATTATTACTTTAATGGACAATTTTCATGAAAAACAAAGTCAAACGAACACCAAATTTTCAATATTTTCCAGGTGGAAAATTATACTAATCATACACAATTAATTATAATTCACAGTAAAACAATTTCTAGGCAATTCAATTCCCTAGAATTCATTTTCTTTCTGTCCATTTTCCACATTTGCACTCAAACAAACCCTAAAAATATTGAATTTGGATTTTTCCATTGCTTTACCATACAAATTGGTATTTGTAAGAATCAATTATTTGTTGGTCAATAATCAATTTTCGATATTTGCACGTGACTCAATGAGCGATGTTTAAAGAAAAGAAGATATGTTGCTTGATCATCAACTGGAGCTCTATATCGAGTAGTTGCTTCTGTAGTACAAAACTCAGGTATGTACTCTAATTCAGGAACTTGGTGTCCCTCTCTCACAACCACCTGTTATATTGGTGGTTGATATATTATGATAATGTTGGCATCATATACTGCCAATCCTATTTTTTCACTTACGAATGGAACATATTGAAATTGATTTTCACTTTGTCCGTGATAAAGTTTCCACCGTGCATCTATGCATTTCTCACTCTCAACGAAGGGTCAATTGGTTGATGGTCTCACCATGTGTCTTTCCCAATGTCGGTTCCTTCAACTTCTGTCCAAGATTGGCATCATCGATGGTAGCGCCATCTTACAGGGCTAATACAAGAAAATATCTTTTCCAAGATTTTACCATGTCTAAACAAGGAAGATATCACCTGTTACTTTCATATTATTGTATATAATTTATTGGTCAATATTCTGTTGATTTACATTTCTTTGTAATCATTTAGTGATTTAGTTTCCATAGCTTCATTCCGTAAGTCAGATGCACTCAATTAGCTAGATGTATGTTTGGTCTGTATTTCACTTACATATTTTTTGTTCTGATAAATTTGGCAGTAAGTACAGGTTGGCCTGTTAAACTCGTATTAGCTAAAAGATAGGCCTAAGATCTGGATAAACAGAAAACCAGAAAACCATAAGAAAATGCCAGTACTTGATACACGAAAAAAACACATAGGCATGTTTGGTACACTAGAGTACATTACAATGAATAAAACTTTGGTTTCTTTTCGTCCTTTAACGTTGTCCAAATCTATCTAGTACTAAGTACCAGACAACCAAACAGTAGGAAGTCAATATGGAACCATAGCATCCAAATCTCCAACATATTTTCTTCAATCTTTTTGATATATTCCTACTGTTAATTGTAATTTTCTCCTTCCTCATTAGAAACTAGATTTTCTGATCACCAGATTCAAACTTCACCCATGATACATCAAAATAAACTCCCATTGTTTAAAGCAAGCCAAAATTGTCTACATTTATTCTCCTGCGATCTAGATGACATATGTTTACAATATTCTTGAAAAATGTTACCTTAGTAGTACAAATTTCGAATGTCAAACTCTTTCAGTGGACCGTTTAATTTGCAATGCAGCTCTTACAACATTTCCTCTTGTAATAATTCCAACCTGAATAATCAAAACAATTGGCTAATCAGGACAAAAGTTAAAAACATTATCCCGGAAAAGATGCTAAGATAATATTAATGAAGCAGGTTCTTACCAGCTTACCATCACCATCCACAACAGGAAGGCGGCGATATTTTGTCTCAAGTAGTATACTGACGAGTAACAAAACACATTTTCAATTTTGTAGTCCTACTTTATTAAGCATGGACGGAAAAAAAATGCAATAATGGTATGCCAAAATCAAGTAAGAACCTTGCAGCACCCTCAAGATTGGTGGATTCACGAACAACTACTGGAGCTGGCGTCATCAAATCACCAACCATTTTCCCATTGGTTTTGCTAAGCAAATTTTGCACTTCATTAAATGTCTGGAAGTTTATTCATAATCAGAACATTATATAAACACATCTTCTGTCATCAACAACACATGCAGGCCAACAAGCATACAGACAGTATCATTAGATAAATGACAAAGGTCCTTTTTTATAAGCAATATAACAGACTTGCAGTCCAGCAGCATGTTCAATTTTCTCCAATCTGTTAAAAGTTTAATCGTGAGTATTTTGTCCCTCAATGAGTATTTCTGAATCTAGACGGAACACTAGACATTGTGGTATTCAACTTGACAGAATCCCTTTCAGCTTGCATTGGAGATGGATTTTTTAAACAACGTCTATTTTTGCTTATGTAGCACAATTTTTTAAGCAATCTACTATTGCGTTAGAGATGTTCCAAGGCAACTATACCATAAAGTATTAGCAAAATAAGATCT